CCTCTATCTAAATCAAAGGTCATAATCGAAACTTCATGTGTATTGTATGCCACTTTCATGCATTCTTTTCTATATTTTTCAAAGATGATCAGTTTTAAAAGAATTTTGTCCGACACATTATCAGAGGAAAAGGCGTTCTAACTCCTCCTCTTTCGATTGGTGAAAACCGCAGGTCTCTAGCTCTTTGCTTTCTCGAGTTATTCAAAAAACAGTCATACGCACGAACTTTTTAAACGGACTATAGATATTGTAAACATGATGTAATAAATTGTTTCACTTATTTTCGAAAAATCATTGATGAAGATCCCGTTTTGATTTATAATTTATTGACAAAAAAACAAGTCAACAATAAATTTCTTCACTTTCTTATATGAATATTTCTTTCGAAAAAAATAAAATAATCCCAATATTTCAAATCTTATATATCATATAAAACTGATAAATCATTCTTCAAGAATTATCTTTAATTATTTATCTATAATCTTAGTTATTGTCTTATTATTATCAACTTTGTGTTTCAAATCGGTATACATTCTATATATAAATTTTTAATTTCTTTAGAATTTATATACTATAGATACAATAACTTTTTAAAGTAATTTATGCAAAAGAAAAACAAGAAAAAAAAAACATCTGTTCTTCAAACATTTTCATCTTCTTAGGCGAGCGTCAGTTTGTGATTAATGAATTCTTTTATGAAACTTGAGATAATAATAGTAAAAAAAACACTTTTCGATTAATATTCAAGGTTATTAGATCAGGTAATTTTTCATCTTTCTTCTTCTTCGCTTAGATTTTTGAGAAAGTTTGAGCGAAGATAAAAATTTTCATCATGAAAACCGGTAGTATTATAATATTGTCTATCAAAATTTGATTGTAACTATTACTTTTCTGTTTTTCTTTTTAAATTGGAAATAATCAAAAAGTGTTAACTCAATATGGATATTCCATATTTTTTCCAACAAACTAGCTTGTTCTTTCTGATGGATGACAAGCATTTCTTTGACTTTCTCAATAACATCATCGATTAGGTCGTGAAAACATGAGTTTCTGTGCATTGCAAGGACAGGGAGAAGTATTCTGAAGCATGATGCCAAATTATCTTTTTCTTTATGGAAAATATACTCATATTTATACTTCGGACAGAATTGGATGTTTGTAATGAATCACTCAGATTTGAAAAGATCATTTGTCCCAACATTTCTGAAACATATTTGATAGAATTAAGTAAAAATGTAATAAATCAAGCAAAATGAAGTACTACATCACGAAAACTGTCTTGATAAATCATCTATTTTCACAAATGAATACATGATGAGCATATATAGTAATCAAAAGTAATGTTCTGTCAGCTGTAAGCAAACAGGACCAATCATCATGCAACAGGTTCAATGTGAGCAGTTGTACCATAGACAATATATAAAAACAAAAAAAAAGACCATTGATGTAGTTTCTATTAACAATTTACATATAAACCGATATAACATCTGAACATTTTATCTGTTTCATATGTTCAAAATTTAATTTAAATCTCAAGAAATAATGCAAAATATCAAATTTTGCTGTAGTGTTTTTCTCAGAATGCAAAAAAACGAGGTTATTCTTTATGTCTCAAGGTATAAGAATATGACAAGAGAAGAATTTTATTTCTATTTTTATGCTTAATTATTCAATTTAAGAAGTATAAGCAGTGGTAAGACATTTTATAAATTGACAGCTAACGATTTAATAATAAGAAGAAGAATACTCCTTGCCTTTTGGCTACTTTGCAGTATGGAATACTGCCTCAATAGCCTGATATTTTTCCTACAACTATGACTAGCTGTAGCTCTGGACAGAAGATCGGCCTGACGCAGAGTTCTTCTGCTCAATTGCTTGAGCTTTTCATACACATTAACTAGTCACATCCTAGCCACAAGGGCTAGTGTATGTCACAATGTAGTCAACATACTATTGGACGGGTGTTCCGAGACAAACAGCCCTTAGTGAATATGGCTGGTAATACTGAGGTTCGAACACAGTACTTTGTGGATATGTGTCGAACAGCGTAATCACTCAGCCATGTAGGCTAACGATAATAAATAATATATTTTTATGTATACGGCTTCATACAATGAAATATATAAAAAAAAAACCATCATACTGGTTAAACAAAAACTAACTGGACATATTTTTTTCACTTTTGACATGTGTAAAATAACGATTTTCCACATCATAAAAATTTTGTTTTTTTGCTCGTCTTGGTCATTTTAAGAATTTGACAATCCTATCCATCTGTAAAGTACTTAGGAAAGATTTAGTAAACAATATTTTTGTCCACCTTATATATATTGCTCTTTATAAGAGAAAGTTTATAATCAAAACTAAAAAGACATGTTTTAGACAATAGAAATTGTTGTATGGTCTATAAATCAATCCTATCAATATAGTATCTGATCGACAACATTTTATTCGAAAAATCAGATATACTTTAACGCTTCATGCACAAGAGAAATATTTCAAAAAACTCGTAATCATGTTCTTGATACTCTTAGTATTGATTTATATGTATAGTAAGATAAGTTACTTAGACATGATAGTTTCACTTGTAGTCGATCCTGTTGATGATAGGTATTTTGGATTATTTCATCTTTACTATGAATCAATTCTGAACTCACATCCACCATAAGAGATTTGTCAAGATAAGATACAACACACGATCGTCGTATTCTCATATTCAATTCACATGATCTATTGGATGGTCATGGATGAATAGCCATCGAAAAAAAAAAGCAGAAATTATTTGTAACGATATGAAATAGAAATATTTGTAAAAAATAACATCTCAATGAAAAACATTGCTACGAAACAATATTTTACATTATTTACAAGAAAGTGCACCATAATTGATAATATATACATTATCACCAGATACTTGACAAAATTCCAGATTCAATGATTTGTTTTTTGCCTGGCTTCCAGTCATGTATTTATTTACTTATTGTACTGAGAATGATGCAAATAATAGTCGTTTGAATAGCATTTAATTATACCTACACAGTAGTATTCACAGAAAAATTTTATAATCCAACTGAATATAATTTACCGTTAAAAAAATACTAAGATAAAAATGAACAATAAGGACAATTAACGTCATTGTGAAATATATGTAACGATGATTCAACAAACTTTTTCTAAATTGTATATAATAGTTGTTCAAAAAAATAAACTGGAAAATATAATTATTCAAAATATAACATTTACCTATCAATGAAAAAAATATAATAATTACAATTTATTTCTAATTTTGAAAACTGTTTTTGTGACAGAAAAAGTTATCGTGGAATTTTTATTGATAAATTAGCTCATGTTTAATTTTCAGAATGATAAAAGTTTGTAAAAGGAAACAATATTTTAGAAAATATTCTTTGTCTTAACTTTATTAGATACTGTCATATGCGAAGTAAACATTCATTTATTTTTTTTTCACACTAAGGAGAAGTACTCAATATTTTCAGATGGTAATAAAAATGATTGTTGTGTGTGACTAATTATTCATATGTGAAAAAAAACGATTTACTCAACTTCAAAAAATACAGATGTGTATTCCATCATCAAGACAATATAATTAAACTCATAATATACCATCATAATGGTTTCGTTGAAGACGAGAAAAATATGTATTGAGAAGGCTGAGAAATTTGAAAACTAATTTATTTAATGCAATATTCATAAATTTAACGTCATTTTGTTTTGAAAAAAAAATCAAAAGTTGGATATTCTACATAAATGTACGTCGTCTATTTTTTCCAATAAATCATAAATCAAATAATATTTATTTAGCTAAATTTTAATTTAGGTTTTTTATACTTATATTAAACATCATGCGTTATGTAATCTGTCTATTTACTAGAAACAGCCATTTCGTTCTAACTCATGTTCTCTCTTTATTTGTTGTTGATAGATAAACGTTTGCAATACTTTTTTTCTATTGGTTAATAATACGCATTTTTCTTTTTCTTTCTGTTCTTTTAGAATGTCTGTTCATAAAGGTCAAAAAAACATTTTTTTGTTTCGGGTCATATTATGAGTTCATCTACCAAAAAAATTCGTATAAACGAATGACATCAATAGTTAAATTGATTGGTAGATGATCTGAAAAACTTGAAAAATAAAAAACATAATATTTTGTTCTGTTTAATAAAAATTTGGTAGACAAGTATTTTGAAACATTTTCTAGACTGAATCAGATCAG